GGAACTGGAGGAGATTATGCTGAGTGAAGTAAGTCAAGCAGAGAAAGGCAATTACCATATGGTTTCACTCATAGGTGGGACTTATGGCGTGGTGAGGAGGACCACAGGGGAAGGGAAGGGAAGGGAGACTGAAGGCGGAGAAATCAGAGAGGGAGACGATCCATGAGAGACTCTGGACTCCGGGAACCAAACTGAGGGTTTCAGAGGAGAGTGGGTGGGGGGGATAAGGTAACAGGGTGATAGGTATTAAGGAGGGCACGTGCTGTGATGAGCACTGGGTGTCGTATGCAACAAATCAATCATTGAACACCACATCAAAAATGAATGATGTACTATGTGGTGGCAACCTGAACATAATAAAAATTTTAAATATTAATTAATTAATTAAAAGTACACCACTTACTCTGCAGAGTACCACTGCCCTCATTTGCAGCTGCATGGCAAAATACCTCAATAGAAAGTTTTTTGTTTTTCCTCGGCCATGTTAAAATTAGTTGGGAATCGTTTCTAGGCCGAGTTCAGAATGCGAATATGAAACAGATGGATCTCTTGGACTGGAGGACCGACAGACACATGGAGTACTTTGGGTAGTGTAGACGAAGGGACTGGGTCTGACACTGTAAGCAGGGGAGGCTTCCCGGGTGAGACACTGCCTGAGCAATGTAACAGAGGGCCTAAGAACCTAAGCCCAGCTCCACCCCCACCAGCCTTGTGGTCTGGGACTAGTCACTTAACTTCCCTGAACACCAGTTGCCTCACCTGCAACTAGAGTAATAATATTTGGCTCACAGTTTTGTATCCCTGGGCTTTCAGGAAATTGCACTATCCTCTTCTTTTTCCACTCCCCTCTCCTTCCGCTTTTGTTGTCTCTACTCGAATGTGGGGGGTTGCCTGTTTGAGTTTCAGTTCACACTCTCTCCCTTGATCACCTTGCCCACAGCCCCATCTCATCCAGGCTCTGACTCAGTCTCCCTGTACGCCAGTCTCATGCTGTACACCGATCTGCACACGGACCCCACCAAGGGAGTTGACATTGAGCCACTGCACAGCCAAACTGGTTATTTCTTCCCTAAATTCCCTCTTGACTCAGGAATGGGTAGTTCTTCTAAAAAGGGCCCCTCGTCTCACAGACACCAAACCTCTGAGTCATCCTTAACGCTCTTTTCTCCCCCTTATTCCTTATCTAATTACTCAGCAAATTTTGTGGGTTCTTCCTTCAAAACATTTTTGATCAGGACAGACAGGAACACTTTACGTGGTTATAGTAATTATGTCAGGGGTTTTGTAGCGTAACAAGACTGTTTCTTTACATAGATTTATTCATTTGAAAACTAAAACTAAAGACATTTCCATTCTCCAAACTTAACAGCCTGAACAATCGCACAGTTAGGGAAATTGGGTCTTTCCTGACACAGTCGCTCCCATGGCACCATCTTGCGTATGACTTCCCAGCTAACCTTGGACTTCCCTGCTTAACATCATCAACAGTCCCTCTGTGCTTCCGGGGTGCAGAAAAGGAGGAAGCCTCGTGTTTAAAGCTCTTACACCTCTTGGCAGACTCTTCAATCCCTTCTTCCACTGCTCTAGTGAGCTCCCCTACGTTCTTCCTTAAGCCTGTAACTATTCTTGGCATCAACTAACCTTTTCCTGACTGCAAGTACGTCCTCACACCATTCTTATCACCTTTCATATTTTCTCCCTTTGCACTGATGTTCATTCATCATATATAGCTGAATCCCTGGGCCCTTATCCTCCTCCACCCCAATAACCATGGTCTTCTCTCTCTTTTTGACCCCCCGCCCCACATTGGCTATGGCATTCTCACCTCATTGATCACATAAAACCTCCCTAGTAGATTACAGATTCTTGGACACAAGTATTGGCACATTCTTAACATGCCTCTGAATACAGTGTGCTTCCCAGTTCATGAAAAGTCTCTGATTTAGTCGTTGTATGGTTCCTGGGACAGGGTGAGAGCCATGTTCCTTTACTTCTGCCAAAGTCATAGACTTATCTGCTATTTTAAAAAATATTTTTGACCTAATTACATAAACTTATTGTGTTGGAATTGGAAAGCTCTATAGAGGCTCTTTCAGTCCCATATTCTTGCTTAGTCAGTGTAAGAATGAGGCTTTAAGGGGTAGAGTGACTCAATGAGAACACACAGCTCGTTTTTGGAGGATCCAGTATGGAAGACTTGGGTCAGCTGCTGACACCAGAAGCAGCTGGGTTCCCAAAGCAGACCCCAAAGTACTGAATTCAGCGTCCTCTACATAAAAGAAACCTTTGCCAAGTGGGTCTAATGAAAAGAACTTAGTGGTGTAGAGACAGAGAAGTACAGATTTTGAAATCAGACAAACTTGGTGTAGATTCAGGCTTGGGTCACTTATTAGCTGCATGGATTTTGGAAAATTACTTAGCTTTTCAGTTTTTTTCCTCATCTGTAAAATGTGAGCAATTATCTCCACTTGGCGAAATGGTGTTGGTGACATGGTGTCATGTGTATGAAGTGAGTAGAACACCACACATTGAAGCCATTATTTAAAATAATTTTCAGTAAGTCACAGACTTGCATATTTCATTTTTCTTAATGCATAGAATTTTATCACAGATCTTTTTTCTAAATTGAGTAAATGGTAGTGGATTTCTTTCTTTCCCTTTGCTCTCAGAATGTTGAAATTCTGGGGGGGGGTGGGTCATAGTATGACTAAAGAGTCCCACCCAGTTATTCTTGGAAAAGTTCCTTTTTTAAAAAAAAATAATACCAAGAACAAAATATTTGAGAAGGTGAATGTGTAGAGCACTTAGTGTAGCTAAACTGGGTGCTAGAGATCTTTTTTTAAAAACACTATCCAGAGCTCATTGTTTTCCTGAATAAAAAGGTATTACAATCACTTAATAAACAGAGAGCTCTAATGGGTCTTGATGTTAAGTCTTCCAACAGCTCCATAACTGGCCTTGACCTTCAGCTCTTTTCCATAATGCCACCTTGCCTTTCACACCAATTCTCTGAGCTCAAGCAGGAATAAAGATTGCCGGCCTATAATGGTGGAACAGAAAGGAATGGTGGATAAAGTCATGGGAGAATAAACAAAGATCTGGTATCAATTCTGAAACACTGCTGGACCCTGATATACTTTGTGTTTTTCTATCACATATGGAAGTAAAAGCAAAGTGCTTTAAAAATCAAATAAGAGGATCATGCTAGATAATTTTATTTTTTTAAAGATTTTATTTATTTATTTGAGAGAGAGAGAGAGAGAGAGAGAGAACAAGAGGGAGAGGGAGTAGCACACTCCCCGTTGAGCAGGGAGCCTGATGCAGTATCCCAGGACCCTGAGATCCTGACCTGAGATGAAGGCAGATGCTTAACTGACTGAGCCAACCAGGCGCCCCAAGACTATGTCATTTTAAAAGTCCCTCTACTCAACTTCTAAACTCTAGAATGTCTTAATACTGATAGGTTTCCATGAAAACCTATAAGAGTTCCTTTCCTGGAATCCCTATACAATTGGTTCCAGCACTCAGTAATACAAGGTTTATTCATTTTGCTACAGTAAGCATGAGCCAGAGAAACAGAGAAAACTGTTATTTTCCTTCTTATAAAGCTCTTACTAACCGAAAAAGAGTGATCAAAAACATTTAGGAAAGAATATCAAGACTAGATGCCACAAATACCCCACATCTGACCCATGGACCAAGATGCATTTCCAAGTCAAGGATTTCATTGAACCAGGGAAGGTATTCCAGGGGATAGGAAACTGAGGATAGACTCCACTAACCAGACTCAGGTGAATTACTAAAGGGAAATGTTCTTGGGGTTACTCTCCATGAAGATGAGTAGCTGGACTTTCCATCAATTTCCTTTCATGTTTCTGACAGGGACAGAGCCAGACCGGGGGTGGGTGGGAGGGGAGATCTTTACTCTGACCAGCCTCATATAGATTTGTGCTGCCCAATGTATTCACCTGGAATTCTTTAAATAATCCTGCTGCTTCCCTTCCCATCCCCAGAGATTCTATTCTAACTCGTCTGAGGTGTAGCTTGAGCCTCTGGATTTTTTTTTTTTTTTAAAGCTCCCCCCTGTAACTCTAATGTGTGGATAGTCTTGCAAACCACTGGAATATACTTAAGGTCTTCTAACAAACCTTCCTCTTAAAACCACCACCCTATCATTTCGTTTTCTGGCGCTCGGTTTTTGTTTTGACATTTTTCTCTCCTCCCATCACACATGACGGTGCGTCTCTCCCAGCAGTCTGACCAGAATAGTCCCAGAGGGGAATGCATGAGCTGTCCTCCGTGAATAAGGAGTACCCTGGCGAGGAAAGTGATTCCCACCCAAAACATAGCATGAACAATGGTCACTCCTTGCTGTATTGCTTGACCTGTTTTCTTGGGCCATTTCCCACTTGCTGTTTTCAGATTACGGAGTGTGCTAGGAGACAACACTTGTTTTTTTCCTATTTTTTCCTATCCCTTGTTGGCATCTGACAGACCTCCAGTTGAAGGCACCAGGTCCCTGGGTGGGGACTCTTTATGTTTCCAGGGGCTACTTGGGAACCCACCGCACTTTCTGCTCAGTCCGGCAGCACTCAGGACCTCTGAATTACCTCTTAACCTAATGCAGATTTCCGGGGAGCAAAGCCCTTCCCACTTGAGCCACGCCCCTCTCCTCGGTTCCCTCCAGCGTTCTGTTTACTTGGAAAGCAGATATTTACATGTCCAGATGGGAGCTCTTCGCAGGCCCCACCCTAGCAAAGAGAAAAAGAGAGTCCAGGCGACCGGCCGGGGAGCCCCACTCCCGGCCCATTATCCCCGGTCCCCAGTCCAGGGTCTCTAGGGGAGGCGACCGCGAGAGCACCCCTCCCCGGCGCTCGCGCTGCGCGGCACCTGGTGCGAGCACAACTCTCCTCCACCCGTCTCCTCGCCCCACCCTTTGTGATTCACAGCCCCAGCCCCGCCCAGGCGCTAATTTAACTCGCCTGGAGGAACAGCTAGGCGCTGCCGCTACTTACCGCTCCTTGCTGGAGCGAGCTTCCACTTAACTCCGGTCTCGGTCCCCGTGCGCCATGTACCTCCTCGGCGGGCTAATCGCCCCGCCGCTGCTGCTGCTGCCGCTGCTGCTGCTGTGTCCGCCTGCGGCGCAGGGTGAGTGGGGGCTGGGGGGCCCAGCCCCGCTGGGGGAGCCCTAAGGCTGGGTGGGAGGGGCGGGATCCGTCTCCGTGACAACCGAGAAGTCTGGGGACCTGGGGAGGAGAGGAATGTGGGCATGGGTAAATTGTTCCCGTAATCCTCCACCCGTACGGCTCAGAGCGCCTACTAGCACGATCCCTTGGGGACAGGGACGGGATCTCCGCAGCTAACCCGCCGTTTGGGGTCTTGCTGTGCTGGACCCCAGCTGGCGTGACTTCGGGAGTGAGGCGGGGACCGTTGAGGAAGCGCGGGCTGAGTTGGCGGAGCAGTCACACCTGGGGAGGCCAAAGGGCAGGGCTCGAAGAGTGAATTCTCAGTCCCCCAACATCTCTTTAGCAGTGGGAGGCCACAGCTGACCTCTGTCGCCTCTTAAACGGAGTCCACTTGTGGGCTGCTGGGGACGCGGCACGTTAGCCCGTCTTCTCTTCCAGGTGTGACGTTCCCCGGGGGCGTCTGTCTGTATTGTGCGCTTAGTAACAGGATCAATTCTAAACCGCTTTTTTTTTAATACTGAAAGAAAAGGGTCGATTCCTTATTTTAATACTGAATTAATTGACAAGACAAGCAGCCTAGCAAGTTGTCGGTATGTCGGTTTAGCCACTGGATGGAAATGTTACTCGTGCCTCAGAAGCCTTTGGCTGCTTCCCTTACTCCTCTTGCAAAAAGAATGTTGCTCTGAACTGAAAAGTGTTATTTCCTTCAGTTCTGCTTTTTCTTTTCTTTTATTCCCCTCCCTAGGTGACTGCAGCTTTCCCCCAGAGGTACCTAATGCCATACAAACTGTGGGTGACCTCCAGAGTTTTCCTGAAAGAACCACAGTAACATACAAATGTAAAGAAGGCTTTGTAAAGGTTCCTGGCAAGGCAGACTCCGTGGTCTGTCTCAACAATAAATGGTCAGAGGTGGCAGAATTTTGTAACCGTAAGCTCTTCATTTTTGTATATATACATTACGGGAATGGAATGTATCTGCTTAGCTTACTTTTATCCCTCTTCAGCACGAGTGGTAATTGATAGTTTTCAAGCATTATGAAATCCCAGGGTATGTATACCTGGCATTTCCCGCTGCAGCTAATTGACATTCCTCCCCAGAATAGGTCCTGTTTCTTCATTAACAGGTGTGGGCTTTCTGAACTAATAGAGAAAATAACTCCTGAACTCCTGAACTAATAGAGAAAATAAACAATAGGTACAATTTAGGGAGTACATTATATATGAATATGTTTGGCAATCACCCCATGACACATTACATAGTCTTCTGTGTTCTTAAGTTTCATTTTGTAAAGTAGGACTCATCAAGCACAACTCTGTGGTAGCCTTTTAAAAAGCTCCCTGTATTTCCCTCAAAATCTATCACTAGATGCATAGTCCTATGGTAACTTTGACAGAGATGAGTAAAGGTAAGGATGAGACTTGGTTCCTAGCTTTGGACCATCTGGAGTCCTAGAATGTATGGGAATTTTAGAAACTGCCTCAAGTATTTTATGAAGCCAGGTGTGACATCAGCTTGAACCTTTGGGTTTTGTGTGTGCAGGACAGAAGGCACTTCAAGTGGTTGAAGTACTTAAGCCTTTGCACATGTATCATGTTTTAGAGTTTATAATGCTTCTGCATAGCTGACTCCATTGACGTCTCCATGGGTGGACAACCCCATGAGTGGAGTAGGGACCCTTACTCCCATTCTTCGGTCAGGAAGTAGTCTGGGGAGACAGACCCCCAGAAGTTAAGTAACTTCTTGAAATCAGCAGTTCTTACACAGGAGAGCCAGGGTCCAAACTTCAGTCTTTGGGTTATAAATCCAATGTCCCGTCCCCTCTACCATGTCTCTACACATTAACATTTGCCCAGATGTTACCATTTATAAATACTTCTTTGTACACCACTGGCTCACCTGATTCATGGACTTCTGGGTTGTTGTGAGGATGAAATGAGTTTATGTGTATAAAACATGGAGAAGTATCCAATAAATATTAGCTATCATTGTTAGTTATTGTTGTTGTTCAGACATTAGCCCCAGGGGTCTGAAGGAAACACTGTTCTCCTCTCACCCCTGTCCTCCTTTGGGCAGGCAGGGGTCACGGGCAGAACTGTGCCAGGCAACTGTAATGGGTTATATTTCCTGAACTGTGGGCATGGTGATATCTAGGTGCCAAATTAACTACTTAGGAAATAGAAGTATGTATGTTAGTATGCTCGATGCGTTGTGTCACAGTGGTATTAATACAGTTAAATATCAAATGTGTATGAAGAAGTACAGAAAAAGGGATGACGTAAGGTCCAGATAATTCTGGATCATTAAACCTAGATTGTCAAAGAAGGTAGTTTTAGTTACGTTGTTGCTTTTGTTAATACTTTTAGGTAGCTGTGACGTTCCAACCAGGCTACAATTTGCATCTCTCAAAAAGTCTTTCACCAAACAGAATTATTTCCCAGTGGGTTCCATTGTGGAATATGAATGCCGACCTGGCTACCAAAGGGACCATCTTCTCTCAGGAAAACTAACTTGCCTTCCGAATTTTACATGGTCCAAACCCGATGAATTTTGTAAAAGTGAGTATAATTTTTACGGAGTATTCGTAATCGTAGGGTATTTGGGGAAATAATATTTCTTCCTTCATTCATGCTGGAAGTCTTTTTGTCCATATTATTACTTCGAGTAATGATTCTGAAAAGAACCATTTGAGTAATTTTATAATTTTGTCTTAAATTAGGCCAACTAAATACTTGTGAGGTGGGAGTATTCATTTACTCACAGATTTCCCATTTAATTAGTTTAAGGTTACCTAAAATGTAATAAATGTATACTCTAAATCTAGTGTGCTATTTGAATCTTACAAAATGAAGGCAAGATTTTAGAAGTTTAAGGATAAGAAATGTCGGTAGTTCAGATGATGGATTTGCTTAGAAGTGCCTGATAATTTAATGAAAAAAAAATCGATTTGAACTCTCTTCTAGGAAAATCATGTCCTAATCCTGGAGATTTAAGACATGGTCATGTCAGCATTCCAACTGACATATTGTATGCCGCAGTTATCCAATTCTCGTGTAACAAGGGGTAAGTTTTGGCATACTACATCTTTATACTCTATATTTAACAAATGCAAAAACCAATTAGGACTTAAGGTGGAAGTTTTTAGATTCGTGGTCAGTGTTTACAAGCTAGTCAACCAGCTCCTGTGCTCAAAGATCTTTCATCATGAGGCCGTCATGGTTAAGTTTAATAAAATGGAGGCAAGAAAGGACAATTTCTTATAACACCAAATTCTCTCTACTGTTAGATTTTTAGTACATATATGATTCATTATAAAATTTAAATGTGAGTAGTAAAGGAAAAATCTTGTAATAGGTTGGCACTTGCAGAAATTAAATCCTTCAAATGTTCAAATGAAACCAATCCTTACTTTACCTAAATAATGAATTTGCATTTTTTTTTTTCTGTATGCAAACTGCCTGTTACAAAATATTATGTGTTGGGGCGCCTGGGTGGCTCAGTGGGTTGAGCCGCTGCCTTCGGCTCAGGTCATGATCCCAGGTCCTGGGTTCGAGCCCCGCATCGGGCTTTCTGCTCAGCGGGGAGCCTGCTTCCTCCTCTCTCTCTGCCTGCCTCTCTGCCTACTTGTGATTTCTCTCTGTCAAATAAATAAATAAAAATCTTAAAAAAAAAAAATATTATGTGTTAAAAACATTTACTCCTAGTGTAAAAATGTCATGCTGACCTGAGGTCTTCTCTGAGTTCTCTATGTAGGGAAAAGGAACTACTCTTTGGGTCTCCTTAGTGTCTCAGAGACAGCTGGAAACTTTTTATGTTCATTTTCTCATTAAATATCTGCAAATTGAATTATGTTATTTTACTTTGTGTGTATGTGGGTGTTCCTGTTCTTTATAAAATTAAAAATATCAACATCATGTGTCTCCTGTATGAAACAGAGATGCTTGGATCGTTAATAGGATTAATATCAAATCTGGGGAGTACCTTGAGCCCCTAAAATATTCTATTATTCTATGAAGCCTCTGTTGATCTTTAGAATTCAGAAATATAAAATATTCAAGCATCTATACCACTTAAAATGTTTCAGAACACTTTCCTGTTTTCTCACGAGGACCCCACCCAGATAAAAAACTTTTTGTGTCTTACACTTTTTTACCCTTTGGATATCACCTTTTCTAATTTAATTTTTTCTTTTCCTTTAAATGGCCATGTGAATTTTGATCCGCTGTTGTTTTGTCTCCCTCTACTAGTGTAGTAAATATTTTAAGATGACATTTTGGAGAATTTAAGGGAAGCCAAATGTGTGGATGGGACCTAACTTTTTTCCTCCCCTCATTGGTTTAGGTACAGGTTAGTCGGTGCAGCTTCTAGTTACTGTTCCATTGTAGATGACGATGTTGGATGGAGTGATCCATTACCTGAATGCCAAGGTAAGACTGAAAAAAAACCTAAACTCTCTAGTTAGTTGGACGTCAAACTCATCATTTTTCTAGGATTCAGTATTGCCTCTTTTACAATTATGAACTGAGCTAATTGCCTATAAATGTTTTGAAATGGGATTGGTTTTTTCATGATTAGAGAAATAAGTTATACAATAAAGAAGAAATATGATTTCTGCCCTTAGGAATCTTATTTTCTGAGGGAGATAGGGTATAGAAATAGTATCATAAATGCATGTATCCAGGGGTGCCTGGGTGGCTCAGTTGGTTAAGCGACTGCCTTCGGCTTGGGTCATGATTCTGGAGTCCCAGGATCAAGTCCTGCATCAGACTTCCTGTTCAGCAGGAGGTCTGCTTCTCCCTCTGACCCTCTCCCCTCTCATGCTCTCTCTTTCTCTCTCACTCTCTCTCTCTCTCAAATAAATAAATAAATAAAATCCATTAAATAAATAAATAAATATTTTTTTAAAAAAATGCATATATCCAGTCAAATTTATATCCACTAGAGACATATGTCTCCTGAAAATTGAGAAGAGTAAAATATGTGCAACATATTTCTTTTTTTCTCTTAAGAAAAAATGCAACGCTTAAAAATGTAGGCTTTATTATTTCTCCCAACTTTACTAAAATTATCACTAAGTTCAAGTTTTTGTTATTATTAGGAGCAGAAAACTAGACTAGGCTTAATGGAATTGACAGGTGAGTCTTGATTGACACCCTGTGGTGGGGAAGGTATGGGGTCAGTTGATAGGGAGATGTACAAAAGGAAGTCTGGCCAACAAAGAGCTTGTAGGGGTGAGCTGGTCGCACCCAGGGATGCCCTTGGCACACCATCTTGAGCTCTACTCTCCTATATCTGCTACTTCCCTTTTTCCCATTACTAGTACTTCAAAATTTTCAGCATTACTACCCACCACCCACCTTTACCGTTTCTGCCATCTAGTAAGGGATGCTGTAAGTGATACTAAAGTGAGTTTGGACAGCAAACTTACTCGAATATGTATCCGCTCTGGCACTGTGATAAGCCTCTGATGCATGTACCTACACAGCTTGGCCCACAAGCCCCAAGACATGTACCCTGAGACCTTTCCCCCCATCTGTGTCTCTGAACTTTGGACTACAGGTGTACATATCAGGAGTATAGACTGTTCTCAACAATTGGCACCATGTGACATAGATATTAAAATTGGAATGATAGAAGATTAGCATGGCCCTTCAAGGATAACATACAAATTTATAGTGTTCCATATTAAAAGAAAAAGAAAAAAAGAGGGAATTCCAAGGGCCACTTCCTAGAGCATGATTTACAGTGGGGTAGGGGAGCAGCTCTCGGGGAGCATACCTTCAGCCCTGCAGATATCCCACTGGTGGGGAGAAGCATAGTCAGAAGAGGGCCACAGCCTCTTAAAGTGTGGGAGCTGGGGCAGGAGTCCCGCTTGCCTGAGTTCAGAGGTGACACTGAATGCAGTGGCCCCCATTCTTGGACTCCACTGATGTTTCATCCACATTCTACCCAAAGTGATCCATCTGAAACATGGATCCTAAAGCTTGTACATGTCTCCTCACCACTTACAAAGTCCAAACTCCTTAGTAAAGCGTACAAGGGTCACCATGGTATGCCCACTTCATGCTCACGTCTTGCCCTCATACTTTAGGCTCTATCCACGCAAACCTCCCTATTTTTCCCTCTGCTACTGCCCCTGCCTGGAATGCCCTTCAGCCCCTTCTTTGCTTAGCTTTTTGTTTTCCTTTGCTTCTTTTCCTTTTCCTTTTCTTTTCTTTCTTTCCTTTTTTTTTTTTTCTTTTCCTTATTACGGGTTTGCTCTGATAGACCTTCTAGAAGCTTTCTGGCACCTCCCTGCTGGTTAACTGTTCTCGCTTCCCACACCATGGTGCACACTTCTGTGACAAGCCTCGCTATTTTGCATTAGAATGAAAATCTTTGAATCTTTTTTGTCACTGTATTTTATCTCATTTTAAAGATTTTATTTATTTATTTGACAGAACACAAGAAGGGGGAGCAGGAGAGGGAGAAGCAGGCTCTCCGCTAAACAGGGAGCCCAGGGGAGGGCTTGATCCCAGCACCCTGAGCCGAAGGCAGATGCTTAATTGACTGAGCCACCCAGGCGCCCCTGTCACTATATTTTAAGACCTATGATTGAATATTTTATTTAGTTTTGCAGCTGCATTTATAGAACAATGCCCGGTATGTGTTACGTGCTCAGAAAGTCTCTGGACGGCACTGATGGCGACGTGCAGTTATGCACCTTAGCCCCGTGTGAAGCAGATTGGCCTGTTCTGGTTCCTGGCTTTGATCGGGGCCAGGGATCTAAAAGTAACTTACAGGTTTGCTAATATTCTCTGGTTACCTAAGGCCACTCGATGCAACATAGTTGACATACACACGTGATCCCACTGCTTCCCTCGCTCTAGACAAGGTGGAGCCACTGCGTTTTTTTTTTTTATCAGAACTACTGCCAGGGAGGGGCCGCTTTTTATAATATGACCAGAACAACTCTGCTTGTATCTGTTTTCCAAATGCAGCTGCTCAGTACATTTACTTGAACTAAAAGGCAGTGTGTCAACGTATGCTTAAAAAAAATTTTATCCTAAGAGTCAAAGTTTAATATTGACACATCAGAACCATCTATTCCTGCTTCCAAGGTATGCCACTTGATTTCCAGGCTCCTTTCATCTGGCATTCTTTCCCCTGGAATGCAGAGCTATGCCCTCTTCTCCGCTCTCTTAGCAGAAGGGTGTATCTCAGTGTTAAGCTCAAGTTCCATTTCCTCCTAAAATGCCCTGCTTTTACCTGTGAACTCCAGCAGTATTTGCTTTCCCCAGCACAATTGTGATACGTAATGTGTGAGGACTTTATTGTAATTCTTGCTTCACGTATATGTTCTAAATCTTACTTCTATACATCGGTCTCAAAGTTAGCATTCGTGTTTTACACCATTTGTATCCAAAGCTCCAAATACTTTACTCATTACTTAATAGGCATTTCTAAACTCCCTGGTTGATAATGCTGAACTTAGAAAAAATGGTTGATTTTTACTTTTTTTAAATAAGTTATTTAACATGCTTTAATCTTACTTATTAAAGTAAGTAATTGGCAGTTTTATTAATGTCAAATATGTTGGAATTTTTTTAAAGAAATTTTTTGTCCGGAACCACCAAAAATTAGCAACGGAGTCATTCTAGATCCACAGAACACTTATGTGTATCAACAGGCTGTAAAATATGCATGTATAAAAGGCTTCACCCTGATCGGAGAGGACTCTATTTATTGTACTGTTAAAGGTGACCAAGGAGAATGGAGTGGCCCACTGCCTGAATGCAAAGGTAATGAGTTTGCAGTGTTGTATTTTTGTTTTCTTTTTACCTGTGGGTCTCTGTTTGGACTACGGAGATTCTGTGAACTCCCTGAGAAATGAATGGAGAATGTGGTACATACGCCTATTTGTATCTTTGCGGGGGCACAGTTTTTCATCAGATTCTCAGAGGGGTCTATGACTTCCCAAGAAGGAGGAAGCACTGATTAAGGAGAATATGTGGTAATGTATGAATAAAATAAATACCCATGGCACATAACGCTCACACAAACGTGCATGTGACATGTCTCATGTTTTTAGTGAGTTCGCTTACATTTGCTGTTTCTTACCGTATCACCTTCAATAAGTTAATACAAAAGGCATATAAAATGGTTGATTTTATTCGGTTGGGAGGGAATCTTAGACTAAACCAAGGGATCTCGCTAGTGATCCTATTGGCGGGATTTGTTTAAGCAACGTGACATGTAAGTGCCAGTATGACTCGAGTGCCTTTTGTAATTACACTTGGAATTATGCTAGCATGAATTTTTAAATATCAGTGCTTGTTAAAAACAGTTGTTTGTCACAAGTAGTGTATGTCAACAGTAAAGTAATGTTCAAACCGTGCAGATGGGTATAAGAGGTAAAGTAGAAATCTCTCTGTACCTAGTCCTTCTCTCCAAAGTAACCATTGTTCACAAATGTTTCCATTTGGTTCTGGAAAATAAACATACATACACGTATTTTTTCCGTTGTAGCAGTTGTATGGATATATCATTTATTTAACCTATTGAGGGAAATTTAGTTTTTGATTACAGATTGTTGGTTTTTTTTTAATTATTATTACAAAAGATACTGCAACAAATGCTAGGCATCTGGAATTGCACAGGTGTGCAAGTATATTTCATACAATAAATTCCTTGTAGCATAGTTACTAGAGCAAATGTATGTGCATTAAACTTTTTTTTTTAAAGATTTTATTTATTTATTTCACAGACAGAGATCACAAGTAGGCAGAGAGGCAGGCAGAGAGAGAGAGGGAAGCAGGCTCCCTGCCGAGCAGAGAGCCCTATGCGGGGCTCGATCCCAGGATCCTGGGATCATGACCTGAGCCGAAGGCAGAGGCTTTAACCCACTGAGCCACCCAGGTGCCCCTGTGCATTAAACTTTTGACGGATGTCACCAACATTGTTTCCAAAGAAACTGTAGCAGTTTACTCTCCCAGCAATAGTGGATCACTGTGCTGGCTCTCTGCTCCCCTAATGATAATGCTTATTATAATGTGGAGATGTGACAACTGCAAGGGGAAAATTTCATTATATTATTTGACTTAATTTAATTATGGGAGAAGTTTGATATGGGTTCACTTCTTAATCTGGCTATGTGACACACTCATATTTATTTCCCCCTATTTTATTAAATTAACTTATTCAGAGTTTACAAGTGTAGGGTGGTGCCCAGTAGACCATGTAGGCCAATATTTTCTTTACAAAGAACCACAAAATCTGGATAGATTTTCTTTTTTTTTTTTAAAGTCCCATTTTGAAAGGCATGAGATACAAGGGTGGGAACAACCAGGACTGAAGGAACTAGAATTCCTGGGGGAGTGGACAGGGAAGGCAAGCCACTCTGAAGTGCACCTGGGCCTAGGATCCATCGTGACCCACAGGAAGACCACTGCCAGGAAAGAGAGAAACTGGCAAAGCTTTTAGTGGTTGTGGTGGGCTAGAAAAATACACCGAAAATTAAGTGCAGAGCGAGTTTTTCCCAAGGGCCATTTGCTGATTTCTGGGGCTGCAGGGGAGGCTGAGGACTTTGAGCCAAAGCTTCCAAAGTACAAAATGAAATCTCTCAGACCCTTATGGTATTTGGGCAACAAATAGAAGAGGAAGAAGCTTGGATTAAACACACTCTTGTCCCCCTTAACACAGTTGTGCCCATTTTGAAGCTGGGTGGGGAAGGAGACTAGATTGCTGGGCTGGGGATCCCTGAATGACAGACCTGGATCTCCCACAGTTTCTCGGGGCTGAGGAAATAAAGATTCCCGGGCTGTCGAGGAAAAGCCCAGAGGGACAACTCCCAAGGAGCAGAGGCAAGAGTAGAAGTAGACTAAGTCTTACTAAGGCTGAGCTCAGTCCCTCATGGGCTGAGGGTGTGATCACCTACAACCAGTCTGCCTATCAGAAAAGGAGACCTCTCTTGGAAGATCATACCATCTGAACGTTTTATATACAATATCTGTAATACAATAAAAGAGTTATTAGACATGGAGAGAAGCAAGAAACTATAACCAAATCAGGGGAAAATAAATCCAGATAAAGGAGATCCAGATAACTGAGTTAGCAGACGACTTTAAAACAGCAATTAATGTGCTTAAGGTTTTCAAAAAAGAGAGAAATAAAGAATTTCAGCGAAGAACTGGAACCTATAAAAGTAGAGTCAAGGAGACGTTCTGCAACTGAAAAATATAAAATCTGAAATGAAGATCATAATATGTTTAACAGTGATTTGGGCCCAGTATTAGGAACAGGAAGGAAGAGTCATTAATAAAGCCCAGAAGCACAAAGAGGGGGGAAATGTAAAGTATAGACAAAAGTTAGGAGGTATTTGAGACATGTGAAACTGTTCTAACATAGGTTAGCTAAGAGGAGAGGCAGATAGAAAAAGAGAGAAAGAGGAGCAGAAATATTCAACGAGATGACAGAATGCTCCAAAAATGTTGAAATACATCGATACATTCCAAAGGTTCTCAGGACTCTAAGCAGAATAAAAATAAAACCAGTTCCTGGCATTTCATGGCAAAAATTTTAGCAACTCAAAACAATGATAAAAAGCACCAAGAGACAAAAGACACATTATCTTCAAAGGAGCAACACAAAAACTGATCACAAGCATCTCGACAAAAATTATAGAAGCCAAAGACCAATGAGAAGAAAGCCTTCAAGTTAAGGATAAGAAAATGAGTGCTCACCTAGGATTCTTTAGCCAATGGGTATATCCTTTAAAATTACCAAATGAAAATGTTCTCACACAAAAACTGAGAGAACTTATCCCAGCAGACCAGACCTGCACAGAACAACAAAATAAAGGCATTCCTTCAAGGAGAATGAAAATAATCTCAAGTAAAACATGAAAGTGCAAGACAAAATGAACATTAGAACAGGTACATGAATAGGGACTGTACAAAATGATAAATGCATTATCCACTGAGGTTTGGTATGTTGAAAGCAAGTGTGTAATAACAAGGTAAATTGAATTTAAGTTACAAGGTTCTGGCAATACCTAAAAGTTGTAAAATGTTAATTTGCATAATTGGTTTATAGTCTAATATATACTGTAATCTCTAGGGTCACCATGAAAATAATAGTGAAAGAAACTGTGAATCATAACCTAACAAAGGAATGATAAATGAGCACTTTATCCAAGAGGAAACGAGAGGAAGAGAAACAAAATAGATGGGTGGAAGAGCAAACTTATAGTGAGATATTTGCTATAAACCCAACTGTATCAGTAATTACCCAGAGTGTAATTTAAGTCAGATTGTCAGACTGAATTAAAAAAAGGAAACCTGGGGCGCCTGGGTGGCTCAGTGCATAAAGCCTCTGCCTTTAGCTCAGGTCATGATCTCAGGGTCCTGGGATCGAGCCCCTCATCCGGCTTTCTGCTCAGCAGGGAGCCTGCCTCCCCCCCTCTCCCTCTCTGCCTGCCTCTCTGCCTACTTGTGATCTCTCTCTCTCTCTTAGATAAATAAATAAATAATTTTTTTAAAAAAAGAACTTTTAAAAAAAAAAACCTATTTGCTGTTTACAAGAGACAAAACTTTATGAGAAGAACACTGAATGGTCCAAAGAAAGAATGGAAAAATATACTTTGCAAACAATTACCAAAAAAGGAAAAAGCAGGTGCAGTTCCATTAATATCAAAGAATACTTTAAGATACAGTGGTTCATAATGATAAAGGGGGTCCATTCAGCATGAATCTATCACAATTTGTGATCTATGAGCACTGTGGAAAAAAAGCTTCAATCCACAGAAAACAGGCAGAAAGAAAAATGGATAAATCCATGATTATAGTTTGAGAATTCTGCATACCTATTTCAAGAGCTGTTAGAATAAGCAACCAAAAATCAATAAGAATATAGAAGCAACAGTTAAACTTTGAAAAAAAAAATGACGTATTAAGGGCATTGAACCCTATAAGGACAGATGGAGAAAGTTTTTTTTCAAGTGTGCTGGAACATTGCCCATAGGCTGGGCTCTGTATCACAGTGCAGTTCAGAAGACTGAAATAATTTGGAGCATGCTGATGGCAGATGTGAGTCAACAAGACACAAAATAACAAAAAGGTAAGGAGAAAAGCAATTTCCAGGAAACTTACACTATATTAGCACATAGGTCTTCTGGATCAAAAACCAGAACTAGCCTGGTACAACAAAGAGTAAGTTTTATATATGAGTACCTTAGAGGAAAGGGCCATATAAAATCTTACCTTAAAATACCATCTACTATTTTCTGTGTGCCTCAGTCCTGTGGTACTGGCTGGGTATTTTCCGTGAGTTGTCCCATCCCCCCTGGCCTCCGAGGTAGATACAAGGAAGCGGAAATACACATGGTGTCTGAGGGCACAGGGCAGGATGTGTGTGCTGGTGGTGCAGGCACTCGCACACCAGAATGCTAAAGTGTGTTCCTTCAGGGATAGGCACTGTGTGAAATAACTTACCTGAATTATTTCTCTCATTCCTTACAAGAATGTTCTCAAATCTTTGTGTTTTTTTGTTTGTTTTTGTTTGTTTGTTTTTTTTTTCAAATCTGCTTTGTTTTTATTCTTGTTCAGTTGAAGAAATGGCAGCTTAGTGGGATTAAGGAAATGGACAGCGGTCTCCAGTGTGTGGGAAGCTGGCAAGAGGGGGTGTGGAAGCAGCCCAAAGTCCGACAGGCACTGAAGGAAGACTTAAAATTGTACTAAATTGTTAGAGTTGCAATTCTCAGAATAGGATTTTTTTATTTTTATTTTTTTAGCATTCTTTTTTTTAGTAGTTTTTTTTTTTTAAGATTTTACTCATTTATTTGACAGACAGAGATCACAAGTAGGCAGAGAGGCAGGTGGGGGGCGGGGGGGCGGGTAGTAGGCTCCCCGGTGAGCAGAGAGCCCCATGCGGGGCTCTGTCCCAGAACCTTGGGATCATGACCTGAGCCGACGGCAGAGGCCACCCAGGCACCCCTCAGAATAGGATTTAATCAAGGTTTCACTTCAGATAATTGTGACCTGATCTGCAATCCAAAGGGAGACCAATCTAATATGTGTAATGTTGGTAACTAGCATAAGAGAAAAAAAGTTATTTTTTTCAGATTGAATGTATTACTTAAAAAAAGGACTAAAACAGAACAAGTCTCCCAGGGTCACTAACATGTCCTGAAAGCATTGGGAAAATGAACTATGTTGTGACTACCTCTGTCTGTCCAGTGGTTCTTTCTGGTTCTTTGGTCTTGGCATGAGAAAGGAAAACATTTTTTGAGAGAAAATATCTTAATTTGGGGTGTGTTACAGAATGAGATCACTACCAACTCTGACTTTGGTTTCTTTTATTTACACAGAAAACAGTTTAAGAACCTCAGTACTACTTTGTTATAAACCCACTTCAGTTGACTAAAGGTCAATTTATATCAAAGCAAAGGCATTGCAGTGTTTCAGTTCCTTGGGAAAATCAGAATTAGACTTGGTTTCCTAAAAGTCATATTCATATTTAGGTCTTTGCGGGGGAGAAAGAGAGGATTCATAGAGGAAGCAATTTGTTTTGTCTTAACTTGACAGCATTATTTAGCTAATATTTTTAAACATTTTTCTTCCTTATAAGGTTCTCAGATTTCTGCAGTCATACCAGCATCAGAGACACCCACCACAGTAAATGCATCAGCTACAAAGCCCACATCAACTCCTCAGAAACCCACCACTGCAAATGTTACAGGTACCAAAGTTACATCAGCTCCTCAGAAACCCAGCACAGGGAATGTTCCAGGTACCAAAGCTACATCAACTCCTCAGAAACCCACTACAGCGGATGTTTCAGGTACCAAAGTCCCATCAGCTCCTCAGAAACCCACCACCATATATGCTTCAGCTACAAAGTCCCCATCAACTCTTCAGAAATCCAACACAGTAAATGTTCCAGCTACAGAAGTCCCATCAACTCAGAAACCTGACACAATAAGTTCTTCAGCTACAGAAGCCCTACCAACTCCTCAGAAACCCAGCACAGTACATGTTTCAGCTACAAAGACCCCACCAACTTCTCAGAAACCCAACACAATAAATTCTTCAGCTACAGAAGCCCCATCAGCTCCTCAGAAACCCAACACAATAAATGTTTCAGCTACAAAGACCCCCTCAACTCCTCAGAAACCTGACACAATAAATTCTTCAGCTGCAGAAGCCCTACCAATTCCTCAGAAACCCAACACAGTAAATGTTTCAGCTACAAAGGCCCCATCAATTCCTCAGAAACCCAATACAGTACATGTTTCAACTACAAAGGTCCCATTAACTCCTCAGAAACCTGACACAATAAATTCTTCAGCAGCAGAAGCCCTACCAACTCCTCAGAATCCCAACACAGTACATGTTTCAGCTACAAAGACCCCCTCAACTCCTCAGAAACCCACCACAGCAAAAGATTCAGCCACAGCCAAAAAATCCCCCATATCAAATGCTCTATCTACAGAGACCCCGCCAGCAGCCCAGAATCCCATCATGGCAAACGCGTCTGCTACACAGGCCATGCCAGCAACCCATAGATCCTCCACAGCAAAAGCTTCATTTACACAGAGTCTTCCAGCAACACGAAAGTCCACTGCTATACATGCCCCAGTGACTAAGGGTCTCCATACAACAAAAAGATTGACCTCTGCTCGTATTACAGCAAAACAGAATTCAGCTACTCCCAGGACAACCAGCGCACCTCACGGAAGAGGGACCTTCTCTTCAGGTTAGTTGGCACTGCTCAGGTTTTCCTGAGTAGGGATCTAAGGAGCCACGGTGGGAAGAGTTTTTCATACTAATGCTCTTGACTATCTTCAGAGGCAGATGGGGAGTGTTCTAGGGCGAAACATTTTGCAATAATATAGAAAAAGATTGGGGCTCTAAGAAAACAATGCTAAATTAAGCTTGGCAAAGCAATTTTTTTTTATATGAGCTTTAGGGAGTCCTTGAAATCTTCCAGACCCTTCAGAGAACCAAATATGTACCATCCTTATGGCCATTTTCTGGTTCTGGTTTATTGATAGAGACCCATCTCTTAAGCATGCTGAAAGATTTCTCCAGATTCTGTAGAGCTGCGAATTTGGTAAAGCATCTTATAGTGTCTTCTAAGTAACTAAAAGACAGAATTCTTTGAAATAGTCTATATTTACACAAGGGTCTTTAAATGACACTTTTTATCAAAGTGGAGTAAAATACATTGTAGACTTCAAAAATAGGTGTTGAGTGAATGAATGAAACCCTTCTTACTAGTTAGTGCTGCTTCGGGCTACCAAGGATGTCCCCTTGTCTATTAACTTACCTAATGCATAGCCAGAATTTTTATAGACACTCTTATTTTCTATTAGAGATACCTATTTTTTTTTCCAGTTTCTTGGTAAATCTCAACAGGACTGTGAGCCAGGAGATAATTTTTTAAAATTGTTTGAACTTTTTGATTGAAATGCACACACACACACACACACACACACACACACTGCATGAAACACCCATGTATGGCTCAATATCTTTTCTAAAGCAAGTATTTGTGGAACCACTACCAACTTTAAGAAATAAAATATTAGCAGCCCCTCATGTTTGCCCCCTCACTTTCCAGATGCTCTGTCGATGATCCTGAACTTCATCTGACTTAACCCCTCTTACTTAGCCAGTGCACCGCATGGCCTCGTTGCTCCCCTCATTGCAAATATGCAAACCTCATTCCATATCATTCTCCCTCTTCTGCCTTTGACCCATTTCTGCCTGTCTTAGTTTGCCCACCAGTGCCTTCAAATCATTGTTATGATTGCTTTTCCATATTTTGTCCATATTTCGTAACTGCTTTGATGGAATATGTTTTGCCATCATCACCCAGTTTTTTTTAAGAGCTTGAAACATTACAGATACCCTTGTTGATATTTCCTTTGTGTATTTCATGATTCCCTCAAGTTAAAAAGCCAAATACATGCATATACACAAAATCTTTACCCATTCCTGCCCACTTTTGGTCATTCTTTGATGGCATCAAATAATCGTGGGTATTTTTTTTAAATAGTTCAACACATTGTGACCATATTTTCATAATGATTTCATATATTTCACAGTTGTTATCTTAAAGCCTTTTTTGCCCTTACCTGGCTTTTTTAATGAATTTAAACATTACAGATATTGTGTGCTGGGCCACTTCCATTTCTCTCCTAGTTCATTACTTTTAAACTGGTAAGAGGTTACTGACTTCTTCAATTTTCATGACCTCTCTGGGCCTAAAAGTTTTAGGTTGAATACACCTGATTTTTCATAGAAGACGGCAATGAGAAAAACGTCTCACCTTGTATAAATTTGTTAGAGCACCAACTTTGTTGAAATAGTTCCTTCTGGAAAAAAAAAATTCAAGACAATTTAACAAACTTAAACAAACCTGAAAAAAAAAAGATAACTAAACCTGAGTCAATAATTGTGATGAAAATACAACTACTATTTGGGTCAGATTTCTCTCTTTTATGCAATTAATTTATCCTTCAAATATCATAGACCATTTTTTGCTCACATTGAAAAAGAAGTTGTCACCGCCACTTGCAGGGTCTGCACCATAGTTGTATGTACTGTGCCCTTCCTCTCTCTGGACACGCGTCCTTGCGGCAGCAACATATGCCTTTTTAGCTTCATTTCATAGGTGACGAATTAGAAGCTTAGAGATTAATTTGTGTGATTCATATAGTGCACAGTTAATAGGGAGAACGTTGGGAGTTAAACACACCTATTTGCTGACTCCAGATCCTGTGCTTTCTTCTGACACATAATGTCACCTGTTCTCAGTGGTACTTTGAGTACATCTGTTTGCCACTTAGGAGAGCAGCGTATTATTATAAATATATTTATTGGAAAGTAATTTTTGCTGTGCCAATTTCACAGTCCTTGAAAGGTGTAAAAGTTAAGGTGCTATAGTAATTTGAGTAATTGAGAAGTCTGCTGAGAGAGACTTCAGTTTTTTTTTAATTTAATTTAATTGTTTTCAGTGTCCCAAAATTCATTGTTTATGCACCACACCCAGGGCTCCATGCAGTATGTGCCCTCCTATACACACCACCAGGCTCACCCAACCCCCCACTCCCCTCCCTTCCAAAACCCTCAGTTTGTTTCTCAGAGTCCACAGTCTCTCATGCTTCATCTTCCCCTCTGATTTCCCCCAATTCACTTTTCCTTTCCTTCTCCTAATGTCCTCCATGTTATTCCTTATGCTCCACAAGTAAGTGAAACCATATGATAACTGACTCTCTCTGCTTGACTTATTTCACTCAGCATAATCTCCCCCAGTCCCGTCCATGTTGATACAAAAGTTGGGTAGTCATCCTTTCTGATGGAGGCGTAATACTCCATCGTATATATGGACCATATCTTCTTTATCCATTCGTCCGTTGAAGGGCATCTTGGCCCTTTCCACAGTTTGGTGACCGTGGCCATTGCTGCTACGAACATTGGGATACAGATGGCCCTTCTGTTCACTACATCTGTATCTTTGGGGTAAATAGTTTCTTGGTCATAAGATTAGATCTCAGTTATTTACTATGTAAGCTTTCAAACTTATTTCTTGCCATCAAGTCATATAACTGAATATGGTGTTTGTTGCAGTATTTACTAAATCTTTATCGTGTTTCATGTTTATGGGGTTCACTGTGGAATAGATACAGGCATTATATCTATTAGGGTGTATGTTGCTTGATTAAGTTAATGTATAACTGTTTCCTTAAATCTATTTATAATTATTTCTTTTAGTTATGAAAGTCTGAGTTACTTTTGAACTTTCTAGTACATTCTGTGGATATATATGTTAAATTGCTGTGGCTTTATGTATTTTTCTTTATTTTTGTAATTCCTTTTTTTTTTCTTCAGATGCTGCCATCATTGCAGTTGGTAAGTTTGGTTCTTCGGCAGTTAAAAAAAATTGTCATCCCTGTGGGATGTACAATCCTTATTCCTGGAGGAGAATATTGTCTTTTTACTGCCTTAGGAATACTATTAAGATGGAATGTTTAAGGTCAGGGAGAAGACGGGTAAATGCATTTTATCGACGTGTTTGGTGGACCCCGTTAGGTACTCGGTACGTTCCTAAGTCTTCCCAACCGTGTTCTTGTTCCAAGGTAATTTTAGGGCAACTTCACATCATTTGGCCAGTCAGTCAAGTATCCCTGAACGCCTATTGTCTCAATACATTATCATTCTAGGGGCCAAAAACAACAATAAGGAAGCTATTGTCAATACAGTTTTTAAGCCTCAAGTATTTTACAAGTACTCACAAACTACTCATTGGTTGTTTCTAGACTTCTCTTCCAGAAAAACCAGAATGCTACCTTTGATTACATCCTGTTCCTTTTCCCTTCCCTATCAGTGATTTAAAGCAAAGATAGCTTTAAAAATACTCTGTTGCTATAGACTTAAGGACATATCCATGTTGCAATTTCTTCTTTGTTCCAGTCCTTTTTTGTTGTTCATAAATATATTATTTGATGTTATACATTTTACCAAGAAGATTAATAACTCCTAAAGAAGATGGCAAAAGAAATGTTTAAGAAGCAATACAGCTAAGTTGGCATATTAAAAAGGAATGCCCAGTAGAAAATATGCACATTAAAAAGTGAATATTTTAAAATTATGTCCTTATAAGCTGAGGTCTCCTATCTATGCATGCATGAGTGAAACAAGGGACTGAAGCTGAAAAGGTGTTTTTTAATTATTATTATTATTTATAGTTCTTTTATATTTTGAATTAACTTCTCCTTAGTTATCTTGAAAGATTTCAACAGTTGGATTCACTTTGTTTGTTTGATATTTTCAATAGAAATAAATGTATTCTAAATGAAAACTTCATGATTTCATCATTTAATGTTAACAGAGATGAGTTTAGAGGATGGGCTTTTTCCCCTCCGCTCAGTGGCATCTAATGAAGGTTCGAGGTGCTTATTTTCTCTGGAATTCTTGGAGTATGTACTATGTGATTCCCCAGAAACTTTTCCTTAGGGTTAGTTGTTATTGCAACTTCTGCTCAGAAATAAAGAGGAGCTCTTTCCCTCTTAAATCAGACATATGGCAGTTTTTTTCTTTGGGAACCTTCGCTTGTACAGTATAAACCTAAAAATTATCCTTATTTCTTCAATTCTATACATTGGGTCACTTTTCTCATTTTGTTTTTATTTTATCAATTTTTTTAAAAATTTGGTTGTGGTTGATACACAATGTTACATTAGTTTCAGGTGTACAACACAGTGATTGGATAAGCAATGTGCCCACCCCAAGAGTAGCTGCCATCTGTCACTATACAAAGCTATTATGTCATTGACTAAGTTCCTTACACTGTGCCTTTTATTCCTGCCACTTTTCTTATTTTAAAGATAAGCAAACTCTACTGACAAGGAAATTGCTTTTCTGGATTACACTGCAATGTTAGTGAGTGATATAGATGATACTAGAACTTTGGAAGTATTTGAATATTTTCCCATTTAATTCTGCTAAGAAAGAGAGACTGACTAATCTCAGAACTTCCTTATTTGCCATGTAAATGAAGACTTTATTTTGAGGTCTAAAGCTATTCCTCTGCTGGCTCCATATCCATGCTTCTCAAAAATCTTTTTTTCATTATTGCCCTCTCCCCCTCAGGGAAATTTTTAGACTTTTATTTTCCCTAATTACCCCCCACCCCCGTGAAATTTTACTACCACAGATATGCTGTAAATCTATTTATATTCTGTATATCTATACTTTATACATTAAAAAGTAAGTTTTTTTTCACCCTTTTAGGATAATAACACCCCCATTGAGAATACATGCTCTATGTAGGTGTATTTTATTTTTGCTTTTGTTTTCTGTTTTTGTTTTTTTATGCCAACATTGTCAAGAAGACAGGCTTGTGTTCTGGAGTCAGTCAGATCTTTGGTTTGAATCCTGTTGGTTCTTTTTTCTTTCTTAACTTAGTAATTATTCAACACAAGTGATTGAACTTAATCTTTCTGAGTCCCAGTTTTCTCATTTATGATGCCTATTTAAAGTCTTTGAAGCTTAATGAGATAAAGATATGAAAACTCCAGCACAATGCTAACCATTGAATAAATACTAGCTTAAAGCAGTCGTTCAGTGCTGTCACTGGTATTTTCCTAGAATGGGTTTCTGATAGTTTTATCATTCCCTCTGGCCACACCAAAGAGTAAGAATTGTCCTTTATTAAGGTAAGAGTTGCATTTTTGCTGAGTGGCAAGTACTCTACTGAAATTTTTATATTTTTATTTTACTTCTCAAAACATCTTATAGTTTAGTGTGTGGGGGGGTGTGTGGGTATATATATATATGTATATATACCCTCACACATATATATAATATCTATATCTGTGTCCCATTTTTAGTTTTTTTCAATTTTTAAATTTTTTTTAAAGATTTTATTTATTTGTCAGAGAGAGCACACACAAGGTGGGGGAGCAGCCAGCAGAGGGAGAAGCAGGCTCCCCACTGAGCAGAGAGCCTGACTATGGACTCCATCCGAGGACCCTGGGATTATGACCTGAGCAAAAGGCTGAGGCTTAACTGACAGAGCCACCCAGGCGCCCCTCTATATCCCATTTTTTTATCTGAAAGAATGATTTTTGCACAATTTGTACCTTGCCCAAGGTCACACATCTGTTAGGTGCTTCAACAGAGGTAGATGACTCGTTTCTCCAGCACCAGGTACTTGAAAGGATAGAAAGATTCTTGTCCTATGCGGAAATCTGCACAACTTAAATTTGACAATTGATGTAGTCCTGATTCTTTACCCCCCTACCATTGCTGAAATCCTATGTCATGATATTCATAAATCTCTTATGGGGATTAATAGGTCAGTTGAAGGAATATTTAAGAAAAAAATTAGGGACTACTCAGTGACATATCTAAAATGTTCTTTCTGTATCCTTCAAATATCACATGCTGATTAACTTTGGCTTTATACATCCATCCACGTGCATCTGGCATATGGTGCAGACCAGCCCAAGTGGAGGCGTACTTTCAAGAATCTGGAATCATCAGTCGTAATTTGAAATGCATCAGATGCTGTGATACCAGGTCATCACCGTGTCTTACTACCTGTCTCTGTAGGATGAACTTAAATCCCACTGTAAAGTGACTTCAATTATCTACAAGTTATTCAAAGTTAAGAAATCAGACAACATAATCATCTCGTTTTTCATTGATCTGCTTAGGCTGGCAAGCAAAGCATAAAATACAGAGGCAAAGAAAATCCAATGATAATAACAAAACCCTTCAAGGGTCCTATGGATGTTGCCAAGGAAGTGGTGTTGAATTCTGAATTGTAAATCTGAAAATGTAAGGTTTACTGAAGCACATTCTTTTTCCTTCTATAAAAGTCTCTTTCTGGTGTGACTTCACCAGTGCGTAGACCTCAGTTCCTTTATTCTGTTATGTTAAATAGTATTATAAGGAAGAACAACCTATTAACAGTGTTTTTAATTTTGTATATGAACAGCATTTCCACTTTATTAAGTATGTAAGTGAGACCTTTTGAAGTGACTGGACAAACCGACATTTCTTCAAAAATAGATTCCTTAAATTAATACCAGATCTTATATGTGGAATTCTGACTCAGTTTCTTCAGGAATGGAGATGATACTGTATATATTAATGTAATACCCATCTAATATAAATCATATTCAAATAACCTCGGGTATTTTTCTTGAGCATACTATGAATTAAAATTCTGACCAGAACCTGGGATTAGAAATCAGTTTTTGTCTGTTGATAAACTATTCGATGTATCCTTTTTTGATCTCAGTTTTTTTATCTGCAAAAAGAAGATCATTTGACGCAATTTAATAAATATTTTCTAAACACATCCTACTATTTGCCAGGTACTGTGCTAGTTATTGGAGTAATGAGATACAAGGTGACAAACTACTTTACAGTGTCTTAAATACTGTAAATATAATGAGAAATATTGTTAAAATAATCCTTTTATTTAGAGAAACCCATTTTCTAAAATTACATAATTTTCCTACCTAAAAGCTCATTAGTTAACAATTAAGAACATTGATATCATAGTCATAATTTCATTGTGTCATTTATTCTGAGTTTTAAGTCTTAAATTGGCACTAATATACACTTGGGTTCATTTTCCATAGGTACCAAGAGAATTTTGAGATCATAACTATTGCCTCTATACTTTAAAGTCTTTTTTATTTATAATTTGGGAAGTAATACTCCTATTAGTTTACTGAGGAACCATTTATGTAGAATCCAGTTTTTCATATTTCTGTGTTTTGATCTAGTTTCCTGTGAAAACATCAGTCTCTGCACACATTCTTCTAGAATTACATGTATGTGCTTGTCGGTGTTCTAAGAATATGATTTTGGTTCTACCATCTGTATATTCTGGATCACTTTAAAATTTTCTATCTTCATTTATCATTCAACTTGAAAATGGGATGGTTTTACAACCATTGAAAATGGTGGAGTTAATGGAAGTGCCAAAGGGGAAAGAAACCCCAAATTTTTGAGGAGCCATGATTTATTTTATGAATGAATTATTCCAAAACAACTATATGTTGCTAGGGGATCCATTAAAGAAATTGATTGTGTAAAATACTATAAAAACTTACCTGTGGTAGAAATAGGTGTTTTGTTGAATCACGTATCCATACGACAGTGCAATTGTGTGACTTGAGCATTTTGCTGATTTGGAACCAATTTGTGATTTGGTCATACTAGTTTCGATTGCTTTCCTAGTGTCCTCTCTAATTTCCTTTGCGATACAGATCAAAAGAATAGAGCTCAAGGGCATTGCAGGGTGGAGTACGGGGGAAAAAGGGAGACCAAGAATGGTATTAGGGCACACAGGTGGTTTGGAGAAGAAAGATTGTGTGTAAAAATCAAACTATAAAAATTACTGTTGACCAACTTATTTGACTAAATTATTTTTCTGTCATGAAACTCAAAATAGTGCATTTAAACTCAAAAGGAAGTATTAGCTTTCCTAAGTGAAGTTGTATCTACAACAGGCTGAACACTGAAGAGCATATTCTGTAAGTGACATAAATATGTTTTAGCCTCCATGCACAAGTGATATTACCTTTCCTGTGATGGGGAAATGCCTACAGCTCTTACCTTACCTAAATGGCCTTCCCATTAACCACATAGATAGCCCTTACCTCTCTGAGACTCAGTTTACTCATCTACACAATGTGAGTGAACTCCAAGACACCGTCTAGTGCTAAAATTACGTAACACAGTCATCATGTTTGACCGACCAATGATCAAAGCATTTACAATCGAGCATGGTGGGGATGAAACACTTTGGAACCCTCTCCAGTAGGTTAAACACATCCTATTTGAGCATGGTGATACTTTAAATATTGTATTTCCTTTTTCTTTGAATGAAAGCAGGATAAGTAGCATGCAGTTTTTGCTGTCAAACTTGTGACATAAGAAAGCCACATACGAAATGTAACTTGCGTCTCCTGTTTTTCTTTAACTTGGCTCATCACCGGTGTGTTTGTCATTGTGAGACTGCATTATGTATGTACTTGCTCGTGTTTCTATTAACTTGTTACCACATTTTTTCCTCCTCAAGGACTTGCTGGTACTGTAATTGGTACCCTAATTCTAGTCAAAATTTTCTGGCACTGTGGAAAATCAGGGTGAGCAGAAATTCTGATGATTTAAAAAAAAAAAAAAACCTGTTCTTAGCTTCTTTTCCAGTAAAACTTGACACTGTATCAGAAGGTAACCTCTTTGATTAATTGTATTTTTTTTTAAACATGCTCTCTCTTTATTCCTTTTCTCGGTCATTACAGCCTTGGGTGAACAGATGTTGTGTCTTTTTCTCTTTCTTTAATTTTTCAGTAGACTCAAGGACATTAACATTTCAAAGGAAAGTGATTTGAAAGCCCCATTCTCACTTCGCAATCTATTAGTCAACTCACCTTTTTTCCCTACTCAGTATAACTGCTGATGGTATCTGTGTGTTACACAGAAGCAAAAACCTAGGGAAAAATCAGTCTCTATCAGATTCGGGAGGTTGCCTGTGATCAGGCATTTTTCTGAGTTATATTTATGAAAACATGCCAAAACAGCTAAAAACAGCCCCTTGGTTCAGAGGGTGGGTCCAGGACCCTGACTGCTTGATTTGAATCCTCCCAGGGGTTGACATTTACTCACCATGTGACAATGGGCAACTGTGTTTCTTTTCTTATTTGTAAATTGGGGGGACGTATTAACACCTGCCTCACAGGATTATAGTAAGATCAAATGAGTTGCCCCCTGTAAAGAAGGTAGAACATGGCACATGGTAAGCCCTCAGATGGTTGAACAGCAGCACATAGAAAAGAAATCAGTATTACTTAAAACATCTGATCTGCATTGAATGTGCATGTGTTAAGTATAATGTCATAGTGGGCTCTGACCTATGCTGTAGACAGAGGATTATTTAATTTGACCCTCCTCTGTTTTATAGATTTTACTGTTCAGAAAATTTACCATGGAGTTTATATAAACTAGAATTATTTCTAAACTGTCCTAATGCCTATTTTTTCCCCATTAATTAAAAGCAACTCTAATGCTATCACTAAATGGCCTGTTTTAATTTTGGGGGTGATGTGAGCTATCTACTTTTTACCCTCTGTAACTCTTATTTCTCCTTAAATTAACAATATTATTGAAGCCTATTATAAGCTAAAATGTGTAAATGTTCATTAAATCACTAAATGGTTCAGTCTTTTACTAAAATAATGTGAGCACTGGGTCCTGGGCTTTGTGGGCTTTTAAATCAATACTTGTTTACTGCCAATCGAGTGTTCTAGAAGCTTAATAGCAGATGTAGTAAAGTATAACTCCAGATTTTTCAGGGACTTTTTAAGAATGTAATTTAGAGTCCACCAAAAATGAACAGAATTTGAAGTCCTATAAAGTGGGTTAAGTTGGTACAGATGCTTGAGCAAAACTACTGTGGAGAAAAACAAGGATTTCCTTACCTCTTTTAGAAATGGAGGGTTCCCATAAGTTTAATTAAAAGGGATGTGATTGTAAGGAAATGCTGATACTGCTTTTCAGCTGAAATGGAAATTATATAATTCAACTAGTGTTTTCCTTCTCTACTGTTCAGCTCTTACACACTCATGAAAAACAGCAAACCATGCAAAGTTATGTTTCATAATTTAAGTGTGACTGGTGATGCCTCAGAAGTTAAGACCTGGTAAATCATAAAAGGTATATGGTTTTATGAAGTCATACTTCTCTGTCTTGCAAAATGTCCATCAGTACAGCCAGGGCAGGTTTTATCCATGACTGTTCAAGGATAATAGGGGCTCAGACCTCTATTATCTTGTCAGACTGGTTTTTCTTCTTTGAGCGACTAACATTTTAGTCTGTCATTAGCAAGATGTCACCCATTCTCCACTCACCATCTCATCTTGTATTTCGCACTCAGTTTACTGAAATGATTGGATACTAGTGATGCCACAAATCTTTGGGGGGAAAACCGAGAAGTGGATACTTTAGGGCTTACAAATAGGAATGCCTTCTTTATGAGTATTTGCATCATGAGATGATTGACTTGTACTGTTTCTCCTTTTTGCTTGGTGGGTTTTAAGAGTTTCCAGTGTGTAGGAATTAAGATTTGTTTTATGGTATCTTTTGTAAGTCATGCTTATAGATCTTTTATCTCCTTTATGTTATACAAAATTATGACACAACAGTAACTTGATATAAACGAATCTACCAAATGTTCTAGGTGTCTTCCTCGAAGTGTCTTTTGGTGAAACTTTTCTCTAATGCATGTGTCAGAGGTTTTCATTGACTCTTAATCTGGAAGTACTTTACGCGATTCTAACTTGGCTACTTAATTTCAAGAAACTAAAAAACTCATGTGACCTATTTGCTATAGCTATATTTCCTATAACTAAACTGGCTGAGGTTGGATAACTTACTAACTTTGCATGTGTTTTGCATGCCCTATTATGGATTAATTTTCATTGTCTATCACATCAAACCCAAAAGATTAATGTGTATCATCAGTCAATAAAATTATTTTGATGTTAACTCTCTTTTTTAACTTTCAGGACACACATGTATAATACTGACAGTCTTGTTTATGATGCTAGTAACCATTGGCTAGCCAATTTAGCCGAAGAAGAATTAAGAAGAAAATGCACACCAGTATGCAGAATATTTCTAGTTTCTTAGACCTTTCTGGAGGAGTGGACAAAATAAATGTAATAGTGCTCTTCATTTCGCATGTTATCATTGTCCTTAAGGTGCATAGGAAAACCAAAGAAGCAAGGAGAAGCGAATCTGTCCTGGGACACTCCCAAACCTCTTGAAAATAGAAGAACTTGCAAGATTTAGAGTGATTACTTTCCTCAAAGTTTAGGAAACCATAGAGGTTTGTTTGTACTTAGAACGTGAGCATGAAGAAAAGGAAATGCGTCATTTTTTTTCACTAGATATGTAGTGTTATTTTTGTTTACAAAGAAAATTAAAAACTAAAAACAGTAATTGGATATTGGAAAGAAACAAAAAACCTAGCCTCTTCTGAGCAAACCTGCTGAAGAGAGATGAACTGTATTATAAAATAACTCTTGATTGTAAGGCATTTTCTTCTTTTCTCATTCCATTAAAATGAGTCTGAACGGGTTAGGAAATATTTTAAAGGGAAAACATGCTTATGATGTGAGAATGTTGATTTTTTTGGGTTCGTTGGTGGCAAAGGAGGAATACAGAATGAAGGAATAACTCTTTCTTTGTCCCACAAATATAGGTATCCAGTTAGGACTTAGCCTCTCACTTGTAAGTAAGATGGATTGGCTATAATTTTGTTTAAGGACAATTTTTTTTTTTTTCTCTTGGAGAAGAAACCCTATGAAAGGGTGAAAGGTGTCTCCATTAACTTAATATCTCTAAAAGTATCCAGCGATATTATATTAACATAAGAAAAGAGTCTATATTTCTGAAGTGAGATGTTCATAACCAAATTGTAAATCTTATTCTTTTGTAATACTGAGATTAATTTATTTATATTTATTTATGTCAGTGAATGCATTGGTTTTACATGTATAGCAAGACAAGTTCAAGAAGATATGTAAAGAAAAATTGATTTTCCCTAAATAGAAATAAATAATTGATCACATTTTTTGTCTCATGTAGTATTTGAAATTTATTTTCTTGGATATAAATAATTTATTTCTAAATTATAGATTTTTCTCCTGCCTCCCGTAAGTACTTTAGAATGCTGTCCTTTGCTTCTCCTGGTGTGAAACATTTTCATTTACTTTGAAATTATACCATATTGTACTTTGTCAAGCACGTCATAGTCTCATAGTAGAGTTGTGTCCCTTATTACTGATTTACCTAAGGGCAATCATATTAATTTCTAGATTATTATACATTCTTATCATCTTACCAGTGTTGGAATAGACTAGAATACACAGATAACTAAACTTAACAATAATTATTTTCTCATATTGCTTCATTGTTTTGCTGTTGAAGTATTTTAAATTCCATATACATCATAGTATTTTGCTATAAATAATTCAATATGTATTTCTAATAATAAGGACGTATTTCCAACCTAGCTACAATTGTCACAACTAATCAGATTAACAAGAATTTCCTAATAGTTTCTAATGTTCGGAAATTCTTTTAACTCTCCTGAAAGTTCTGTGTATAGCCACATATGCAACAACTAATTAATTAGTTAAATGAGAAAGCCTCCTCTGCCTACGCTGTGACAGTCTGGTGCTTCCTAGGGTGGTAGCAAGGATAATACCAATTCAGTCATTCAGAAAAATATCTGAGAGCCTACTATGAGCAGGTCACCATGTGCTAGGTGTGAGCTTGTCAAAGTCACTACGATACAGTGGCTGCCTTCAATTTGCTTATATTCTATCACAGAGAAACCAAAACTAACACTTACTGAGAGAAAGTGTAGAATTACAAGCGTTGTAGTAATCACCTGTACAGAATACAGAGCGTGCCTGAGCTATCTTTGCTACATGGGTGAGTGGTGGCCAGGGGGGCATTCAAGATAGGATGTGAATTATGGTAGAAGAAATACGAGATTTTCCAAGCAGGAATAGAGCCTGCAAACAATGCAGTGGGTTCAAAGTAGGAAGGTCTCAGGGAGAAGACTTGTATTTATTGTAGAAGTAAAAATCATTAAGTTCCAAATATATATTCTGCCTTGATTAAAGTTAGAATCAATGAACACAGGTTTATAATAGCAGGAATTTTAGACATTGGGAAATATTGAACTTGAACAATACAATACATTGAGTTAGCCTGTGTATCTTATTATTTAGATAAAGGTAAAGCTAAAAAAAAAATTTAACAGTTATTTTGTAGAAAATGGTATAAACAGTAGGCATATTGTGGGTAATGGCATTTTCTTTTAGGATTTATAAGTACTTTGTTTCCTGTTGTCATGAACTTGAATCATTTTATTTTTTTCCCAAGGTAAGCTCCTTTGAGATTAGGCTTTGATTGCAAAGATTGTGTCGCCTTTACTTTTGAGACTGATGCTGGTTTGTTGCAGGAAATTATACTTGCTTACCACAGAAATTTGCCTTTTATTATATTTAACCTACTATCACGATCAGATTTCATGGAACACTTGGACATTAATAGTTTTTGTCTTACCACACCCTAGCTTTTTTTTTTTTTTTTTAATTTGGTTAATGCCAAAGTGGAGTGGAAATGCCTTGTTTTCTATTCAAACAACTTGAATGTTCCCTCCACCCCTTTGCCTAAATTAAAAACAGCCTCTTCCGTAAAGTCAAAGCTTCCTTTGCAAACTACCCCAGTGGTGGCTGTTTCATTTTCATACTCCATGTGCCTCCATGTTGAGAAATGGTGGTATTCTTTTCCTTAATTCCCATTGCGTCTACTTCTGTCCCTCTCAAGTTCCCCAAATATTCTTTAAAAATAGTAACTATTCTTTCACTTTAGCAGGGCAATTTACTAAAATGTTTTTTCTCTATAGTTTTCTCTCTCTCGATTCCAAGCAGGTAGCCAAATTTTGGTCTTCCTTGCTACATGGGAACATCATGACCTGTGGAAGCAGAACCAGTTAAAGACAACTCTCTTTCTTGCCATTCTTCTCTGAAATCCTGTACTCTCCCCATGGATTAATTAAGCTGTGGTGAGGTAGGTAGAAGCAGAATCAGGAAGAGAGGAGATTCCTATGAACAACAAAGAAGACCTCTGTTGTTCAAAGTCTCTGATCCAAGCATCCTGACAGTTTCTAGGGTGGGGGAGGTAAGGACTCAGAGGTGAGTGATGGGATGTATAATGTTATATTTTGAAGTTGGGACTAACAGGATTTATTAAAGGATTAGGTGTGCAGTTAAAAAGGGAAGAGTAATTGAGGATGACACCAAGGGTTTTAGCTTAAGCAACAGAAAGGAAACGGTCTCTCTTTCCTAACCTTACTTCCCTTGGGGAAGACTTTTGTAACAGAAAGATCAATAGTTTGTTTTTACACATGGTAAGTTTGAGATGGCTTTTAGACATCAAAGTGAAGATGTTGTAAACGTGTCAAAAATACAAATCGGAAGCTCTGAAGAGGGGTCTAGGCTTGAGATCTATATTTGAGAGTCATCAGTAAGAGAACATGTTTCAATGAACCCAAGTGAAAAAAACAGGATGAAGACTTACATTCAACATTAGGGTTTACAATATGGAGGTCATTGGTGGCCTTGACCAAAGCTCTTTCAGTGGGGTGGTTGTAATGAAAACGTTAGGTAGAGGGGCTAAAACAGAGACTGGGATGAGAGAGATTGAAGAGAGCTAATGCAGATGAATATGGACAACATTTCTAAAAAGTTTTACCAAAAAGTTCGGGCCGAGAAATGTTTGCTGGAACATACTGTATGCTCAAGGGAGATTTTATTTTAAAATTTGGGGAAAATTATATCATGTATGCTGATGGATATGATGCAGGAGAAAGAAGGAAGTATCTCCAAAGCCTTTGAGGAGGTGAGAGGTAATTGACTCCATCCTAAGAAGTGGTATAGCTAAATTGTTAAGAGCATAGATTTTGGAGACAGACTACCTGAGGCAAATCAGACCCCTGCCATTTAACAACTGCGTGACTTTAGAAAAATTCCTTGTCTATGTACCTTAGTTATCTATCTATAAAGTGCCTTTCCATCTGTAAAGTGGGAATACATAGAATTGCTATGAGAATTAAGTTAATAAGCATAAAGTGTTTAGAGTAGTGCCAACCACAAAGGAAGGGCTCAGTAAGTTTTAGCTCTTCTTAGTACAAAAATGGAGAGGAATCTAGAAATACGTGAAGTGACGCTGGAGTGAGAGTCATTGTATGAAATTACCTTTCACAGCATTTGCAACTCTGCTGGCCGAAACATATCTATGTATGGAACATCAGGAATGGTTTAGGAATCCCATGTGTTCTGCTTTCCCCCGGATTCCTATATTCTCAGGAAGTCACATTATAGCCAACACCCTTTGCCACTAGTATTGCAGATGTGCCCTCGGGAGATTCGTTTTTGTTCATTTTCCTCCAAGGCCACTTCAGAATGACCATGAGTAGACCAGAGTGGACTCTGTTCTCCTTGGAGTATACAGCTGTGCAGCCCACTTACTGCCATGAAATTTGGGGCACCCAAAACTTAACTAGCCAACGGTTTTCTAAGTCCAGGATCTCAATTTCTTTGACTATGCAGTTCCCTCAAAAACTCAGTGGGCTTCTGATCTGTTCACTTCCACTGCATGCTACGGGATAGTTGCCACTGCCAAGTAATTTACTAAACTGAATTCTCAATCCTGATCTCTTTCTTCGCCTCCTACTCACCATCTCATTCTTTCCCTTATTTCTGCAGGTTCTCACTCACTGGGGCTTATTTCCTTGTGTGCCCGGTTGCCTTTGCAAAATTACTTGTTGGGATTCCCTAAGGCATAGGGTAAAGCTACTCTTTCCAGAGATACTTTAGTTTACCATATACCAATTTTATTTTGCAGGATCATCTGGGTGCTACCTTAAACCACATATAGAACATGAGCTTTCCTGACCCACCCAGGTCTTGAGAACTTGGGCTGGGAATCCTCACCATGACTGGACGATTGCCACTAATTCTTAGGGTTAAGTTTTTATGTTTCTATTCATTTTTTTATTTCTTCTGTTTCATTCAACACTATGGCAATCTTCCCTACAATCTTCTGGGATTAGGGTCAGAAAAGGCCGGGTTTACTTTCGGTTCACTCTGAGCCTGAGGGTAGAGTCCTTTACAAGTCCCTGGACCCATGAAATTAAAAGGATAAACATAAGTTTTCTGATATCAGTAAATGACCCTATGGCAGATTTAATTTTGTTATTGATACTTTCCTTTTCTTTCCTGGGTTCAGTTTTGCAATCAGAGTTAACTCTGGCAATCTGCATGCTGTTTTGTTGGCTTATCAATGGGTTTAAGACAATTTCTAATGTTTTAAATCCAGTTCCCTTGGTTACTTCTTAGTGATCAGTCCAAGTCTTAGGCCACCACTATTGAAAAATAGAATTACTAAGCACAATGTGTGAAAAGCGAAATGTCGAAAGAAAAAAAAGGACATGTTAGAATGATGTAATATTTGTAAATTTAAAATATTAAGTCAAAGAAAAATATACATAGTTGACCTTTCCTTGAGCAGCATGGGTTGGAAGTACATAAATCAACTTATATGTGATTTTTTTTTTACCATACAGTATTGCAAATGTATTACTCCTCCTTATGCTTTTCTTAACATTTTCTTTTCTCTAGCTTTCTTTATTATAAAAATACAGTAAATAATGCATATACCATCCAAAATATTTACTAATTGACTATGTTATTGGTAGGGCTTCTGGTCACCACTAGGCTCTTTGTAGTTATGTTTTGGGGGAGTCAGAAGTTATATGTGGATTTTCTGCTGTGTAGGAAGTCATCCTTTTACCCCTGTATTGTTCAAAGTCAACTGTAATTTCAAGTGTTATAAATTGTGAATGGTCAAAAAACATTTCAAACTGTACCAGAAAAATTTCTCATTGATAGTGGCCATCAAGCTTTTGAAAAGATCATTAAAGATTCATGATCAGGAATTATATAGAGCATTTCAAGAACAAAATTCTATATAAAAAGTTATATAAAAGC